GCCTGGACTCGCGGCGGCTTCCCTGGCCGTGACCGGCTCCGCTCAGCGCTTGGTGATTCCCCCGGGGGCGGGAGGGGATGCTGCGCTCGGGCAGCTGCGGGGAGAGCCTGCTGTGTCTCCATCGTCTCCTGGCTCCTGCCATGGGAGGGGTCTGGCTAGCACAGCACGGGGAGTTGGGGCTGAGGCAGTTTCTGCTCCTAATTTTGCCATTGACAAAATGGGCGGCCTTGGGCAAGTTTCTCAACCTTTCTATTATGTGCATCGCTGCACTCCTCCACCCCTCTTAACGAGGGATGTGAAAGGTTAACTGGTCACCTGATGAACCAGTAAAAGCATCACCTTAAATGCAAATCCTGAAGCCTGAGATCTGGGCTTCTGAAGAAGACTGCAGAGCAGCGTGGATCTGCATAACTTGAGAGGGGTTGATGCCATCCAACTTCTTGTGCTCACTTCATTCATAAGTTAGGTGCTGTTTCCCTCCTATATTGTACCTGTAACAGTACTTGCATATATTGAAAGAAGAGCTTTTTAATAATGTCTTTTAGTAATCACTCCTTACCTAAGCCTTCATCCAGAACTTCAGAACCTTTGGCAAATCAAGGGCTCTTACATGTCCTCTCTCTGTAATCAACATAATTCTTTGCCCTCAACAGTATAGTGCTTTTCAGCTGAACATGAACAAACACTTTATGAACAAGTAGGCCTTCTAATATCAGTATAAAGTCTGTGGTCTTACCTCACCATTTTATACCCAGATAAGCTGAGGTACACACAAGCTATTTGGTCAAGTACGTAGCTCAACTAGAAATAGAATCTTGAGGCTTAACTTTACTTTCTCATCTAACCACTAGGGAACAATGTTTCTAACTCAGGTGTATTAATGTCTTTGTCTTTTTTATTCCTTGAAGGGGACAAAGCATTTGCACAGTTTCTGACAGATGAAATTAAAGAGGAGAAGAAGATCCAGAAACATAAATCCCTGCCCAAGATGTCTGGAGGGTGGGAGCTAGAAGTGCATGGCACCGAGGCTAAACTGGTGCGGAAAATAGCTGGTGAGAGGTAAGTGTGAGATGGGTTTTTTGCTTAATTGATATTTGATCTTTTCAGTGAACATAAAGGACTTGGTAAAAATTGCAGCCAGCATGTTTTGTCCAGGATTGAGGTTAATGAAAAGCTATTAACTTAGTGCTGTTTCTCATTGTCAGCTCTGCTGTCATTCAGGGCCAGTACAGATAACAGAAGCTTTGTAGTCAATTTATTTTTCTATACTGTAGCACTGTGGTCACCAACAGGTCGATCGCAATCTACTGGTCGCTCGCGAGGCCTCAACCAGTCGCTCGCGAGGCGTCCTGTCTGCCCTGCCCCCATTTCCCTCCCACCCCCGAGAAGCCCCACTACTTACCTCAAGTGAAAATGGAGGTAGTGTCGGCTTCCCGGGAATGGACAGAAGTCCTGCAGCTTAGCGCCACTTCCGGCGATTCCAGAAGTGCACTAGCTGCTCTGCCGGGTGTTCTGTGGGAGGGAGCATTGGCTCCCTGCACTGCACAGGAGAGGTGAGTCAGCCCCACGGGAAGCGCGCAGGGGGTTGGCCCCCGGGCAGGTGTGCGCGCGGGGCTTCCCTGGGCGGGGGGGTTGGCGCCGGGGCAGGCGCGCACGGGGTTTCCCTGCGCCGGGGGGGTTGGCCCCAGGGCAGGCGCACGCGGGGCTTCCCTGCACTGCGGTTGGAGCTGGGGCTAGCGTGCGCGGAGGATCACTGCACCGGGGGGGGTTGGCCCCCTGGGCAGGCTCACGTGGGGCTTCCCTGCGC